GATGGAGGGCCTGGCAAGGGACAACGTATTGTCGTTCGAATGATATGATAAGAAAAACATGTGCCGTTAGAATTCCATATAAGAGTAGGTCGTAGTGCCGCTATCCGCACAAAATTTCCCGTCTTCATTAGCCCAGTTTCAGTAGAGCAGTAGGACATTAAACCACATTTCCTTTTCAACGTCAGAAATATAAATTTAACCATATGTTAGTCCCAGGATGACCTAGTATATTTCAAGAAGACATTAAACCCATCTCTCTCTGGGAGATTGGATGACCAAATGGTTAGCACGTGCACACTGTATCATAAAGCCTGTCATTGAGTCCCCGGTTGTACAGAACGAGGAGTAGTGTTGACTGTCCAACCTCGTGGGTTTTCTCCGGGTCCTCCGGTTTCCTCCCACTGCTAAAGACCCCTACGCGCAAGCGAATTATGTAAATAAAATTAAACCATATGTTAGTCCCGAAATGACCTAGTTTGTGTCGAGTGGACATTAAACCCCATTTGTCCCTCTCTCTCTCTCTCTCTCTCTCTCTCTCTCTCTCTCTCAGGATGATGAAGGTTGTGTATTAGTTTGCCATCTTGTATGAATGAAAATGTTTGTTATTTGATCCAATCAATTAAGACCCTGTCCTATTTTCAGATCAACCAATCATAGGTGATGAACCATTAGCCATTACATTATTCTCCATGGTAACCAAATTCTGTAGTGGAAGTGCTCCACATTTTCCCATGAAGAAAGTTTTACTGCTATTGTGGAAAGTTTCGTTGGTAAGGATTACAATAATTAATCTCTGACTGTCATTGGTAAGAATTACAATATTTAATCGCTTAACATCATTGGTAAGGATTACAATATTTAATCTCTGATCGTCATTGGTAAGGATAACAATATTTAATCTCTGATTGTCATTGATAAGGATTATAAAATTTTATCTCTGATCGTCATTGGTAAGGATTACAATCATTAATCTCTGATTGTCATTGGTAACGATTACAATATTTAATCTCTGATTGTCATTGATAAAGATTACAATATTTAATCTCTGATTGCCTTTTGAGAGATGTAGAATCCCTTGTAAACTACGATATCGTGGAAGTTGAATCTATCAACGGATATCAGTCCGAAATTTTGTTCATTGATGAGTGCTGGGTATTGATAAGTTCACTAGTGTTTGGTATTGATGAGTTCACTAGTGCTGGGTATTGATGAGTTCACTAGTGTTTGGTATTGATGAGTTCGCTAGTGCTGGGTATTGACGAGTTCACTAGTGTTTGGTATTGATGAGTTCGCTAGTGCTGGGTATTGACGAGTTCACTAGTGCTGGGTATTGATGAGTTCACTAGTGCTGAGTATTGATGAGTTCACTACTGCTGAATATTGATGAATTCTCTAATGCTGGGTATTGATGTGTTCACTAGTACTGGGTATTGATGAGTTCACTAGTGCTGGGTATTGATGAGTTCACTAGTGCTGAGTATTGATGAGTTCACTACTGCTGAATATTGATGAATTCTCTAATGCTGGGTATTGATGTGTTCACTAGTGCTGGGTATTGATGAGTTCACTAGTGTTTGGTATTGATGAGTTTGCTAGTGCTGGGTATTGACGATTTTACTAGTGTTTGGTATTGATGAGTTCACTAGTGCTGGGTATTGACGATTTCACTAGTGCTGGGTATTGTTGAGTTCACTAGTGCTGGGTATTGACGAGTATATTAGTGCTGGGTATTGGCGATTTCACTAGTGCTGGGTATTGTTGAGTTCACTAGTGCTAGGTATTGACGAGTATATTAGTGCTGGGTATTGATGTGTTCCCTAGTGCTGGGTGTTGACGAGTATATTAGTGCTGGGTATTGACGATTTCACTAATTGATATTTTTAGTCATGCTGATGTCGAAGAAATAAAACTGTTTTATATCACGATATTGATGTGGATCAAAATAAAGATCAAAACAATTCAAAAGTGTTTGTGTATCTATGAATAATGTGTGTGACATGGATAATTAAGAGTGTCAGGTTAATTACTGAAGCGATTCAATATGCAAATCTGGAGAAGGTGAAACGTGATACATTGATTCAACGATGTATCGTGTCAGCACTAGAGGTCATATAGCTAACACTCGGTATCACTTTTCATTTGACATCCAGCGGGGTTTCCTCTTGTCAGTGATGCAGGATGGAGGGCCTGCAAAGGACAGGTGTCTAGTCCTTCGGATGGGACGAAAAACAGAGGTCCCGTGTACATATTGGAATGCACGTACAAGATCCCTTGGCAGTTGGAATTCGATATAAGAGTAGGCGATAGTGCCACTGCCCGTGCAAAATTTCCCTCATAGCACACTGTATGCCCGTCTTCATTAGCCCAGCATAGGAGCAGAACGGTAGGACGTTAAACCCCATTTCATTTCATTTTTTCATTTGACAAATTTATATAGCTAACAATCGATACCACTTTTCATTTGACAAATTCATATAGCTAACAATCGATACCACTTTTCATTTGACAAATTCATATAGCTAATACTCGATACCACTTTTCATTTGACAAATTCATGTAGCTAACAATCGATACCACTTTTTATTTGACAAATTCATATAGCTAATACTCGATACTACTTTTCATTTGATGAATTCATTTAGCTAAATATTTTGTATTATTTGCTATACCCAGGTATCATTAGGTGGTTTACATGAATTACAATATGAGAAGAATGCAGTTCGTGATACACATGGCTTACCTCCCCTACCAGAAGATATGTACGAAGTATGTAAGAATATGCGAGCTTCATCTCCTCCAGCTTCGGCTGCGGATCTGATCGAACAGCAAGCGCCAAGACGTGGAACTCGGGCAGGAAAACGGGTGAGTTCATCATTTGTTTTAAAAATTTGACCATACTTTTGATTTCACCATTACGATATCACATTGGCGTGAACGTAAAAGATCCCTTGACAGTTGGATTTCGATATAAGAGTAGGCCATAGTTCTGCTGCTCCTGGCAAAATTTCCCTTAAAGTTGTATGGCGTATGCCCATCTTCATTAGCCCAGTCAGAGCAAAACAGTAGGACGTTAAACCTCATTTCCTATTTCGACTGTACATGTACAAGAATTGACGGAGTCTTAGGCTTTTTGGATATAAGAGTAGGCCATAGTGCCGCTGTCGAGGCACGATTTCCATCAACGCACACTGTATGGCATATGCCCGTCTTCATTAACCCAGTCGGAGCAGAACAGTAGGACTTTAATCTACATTTTATTACATTATGATATACTCTAGTTTTTGGCATTTAATTTGACAAAATATCTTTGATTAATGAGGGAGGTAAAGAAAATAAATTAAAATTGTCTATATGATTAAATTACATGTTTCTTTGTATTGCTAGTTGTTTTACTAATCTAAACAGTGCACACATTACGGACACTTGACACATACTGTTACATCTCTTGATCTACGGTTACATCTACTCACTTATCATTTAATTGAATTAGAAACTTATCCAGAAACTTATCCAGAAATGTGATAATTGCAATGTATGAAGAGAGTCAAGCATTCAGCACTGCACGTTTTTACAATTTGACTTTGTTATTATCAGCAAGAGAGATCTGTCCTTGATATATTCATTGCATGCATCACCTTAAATACTTATAGCATGTAGGCAGCGGTTAATTAACTTGCATGTTTATTTAAATTCTAAAATTTTATGAATTTCGGGCATTTTAGGTCGGTATGAATCAATCCCTTAATCAGTTAATGTTCACAGAACCATTCAGATTCTAAGTCATATAATGTTATTAATCGTTACTCAAAATCAATTAAGTCAAATTATCTGTTGTTTATCACCTATCAGATGTTTGGTCATTAAAATGGAGGTAACTCAAAATAAATTAAGTCAAATTATCTGTTGTTTATCTCCAACCTCGTGGGTTTTCTCCGGGTCCTCCGGTTTCCTCCCACTGCTAAAGACCCCTACGCGCAAGCGAATGATTGAAATAAAATTGAACCATGTGTTAGTCCCGAAATGACCTAGTTTGTGTCGAGTGGACTGTAAACCCCATTTCTGTCTCTCTGTTGTTTATCTCCTATAAGATGTTGGGTCGTTAAAATGGAGGTCCCACGTTTGTTGGCTGTTGATAATCTCCTATAAGACATTGGCTCGTTAACCTGGATGTCCTGCGTATAATCCAGTGATGGGATTTCAAAATTTTTCTTGTCGGACATTTTTTTCGTTATTTAAGCAGACGTTTTCAAACCACAATTAAGAATCACGTGTCAACAAAATATTCAAATTTATATGTAATAAAAAAATATCTTCACCTCGTTATTTTTCATGCTTAATTCCCGTACGGTATTAAAATTTATGTCAATAATGTTCTTACAAAATTACATGACATCGTAAAACCATAGAATGAAAGTGTGACGACTACTGACGTACTGTTGATCGGTACATACATGTTTCAAATTCCCCCCCAAATTACCGTATTTTTCGGGTCATATTTCGATACATTTTTCAGCAAAGACCGGCATTCATCTCATACTCCGTTTCGATTTATATACGAAAGGAAAAATATGACATCCCAAAATTTATTTCGTAGTAAACGTCGCTCAAAAACAAGCGATTATACTATAATCACACCAGAGATTTTCCCCCCTTGATTGGTTCCCTGTTGTTAGTAGTGCAGTACGAAGGGCCTGACAAGTAACGTGTAGTGTGTAGTTGTTAGGATGGGACAAACAGCCAAGGTACACATTGACATGCATGAAAAAGAACCCTCTGCAGTTGTTTTTTATTAAATATTTTAGGTTAGAAACATTTAATTTCTTATAAAAATATTCCTTGGGATTTTGTGGGTATGATATAATCAGTCGCTGTTATTTGTATTTAAGATGATAGCCGAAAAAAACTCCCCTTAATCAACAAATTAAAAAAATCGCCCCCGTAAAATATAATGAATCATTTATTAACATTAATATAATCTCATATAGAAACATAGTTAATATATTTTTTTTTTATGTATCTTGAAGAATAGATGGTTTTATGCATAGAACTAGTAGTTTCTAGTATCAGTTAGAGTCAAGTTTCAATGTAATTTGAGATCTATTTAAACATACATTATACAAGAGCTAAATCTGCCTATTGCAGGTCTTTCTTTAGGCCTGGAATGTTATACAAACTATTAATTAGACATTAATTAACAAACAAGACCATAATCAACTCTCGATGTCATCGCTAGCCTGCGATATTTACTGGATTAGGATCCGATTTGCTGCTCAACTTTCATTCATGATTTAATCATTAAATGGATAATCGAGACTATTTTTTTTATCGTACCGACTTTAGTAATGATGATCGAGGCTAGGCCCAAAATTCAATCACTAAATTCTCAGTTCAGGGTGGATCAATTTGAATGAAATTTTCAGCAAATTGCCTTTACAGTATCTAGTTTTTAACTTTTTAACTGTCAGCTCTTTATTTAATCTTACCTAATGTATCTTTAAATGCAGCTTGAGAACTATTTAATGAACTATTTAATGAAATGTTTTATGAAATTTTAGGCCTACTAATGTATGTTTCCGCGCGTAGCCTAATTGTAAGCAGCATCAACTATTATAAACTCTTACTACGATAAGAGAGGGGGAGGGTGGCCGAATGGTTATTGCGATCTTGTTGGGTCATAAGGTCTGTCATTGAGTTAAGTGATGTGGTTTCTATTCCCCACTTGTGGGGGGTTGGATGGCTGAGTGGTTAGCGTGCGCGCGCTGTATCATAAAGTCTGTCATTGAGTCGACTGGCGTGGTTTCGAATCCCCGGTTGTACGTGACAAGGAGTAGGGTCGCCTGTCCAACCTCGTGGGTTTTCTCCGGGTCCTCCGGTTTCCTCCCACTGCTAAAGACCCCTACGCGCAAGCGAATTATGTAAATAAAATTAAACCATATGTTAGTCCCGAAATGACCTAGTTTGTGTCGAGTGGACGTTAAACCCCATTTCTCTCTCTCTCTCTTTCCCCACTTGTAGGGCCGCCTAGTCAACCGTCTGGGTGCTTTGCTCTCCCTCCACCGCTAAAGACACCTAGATGCAAGCGAAGTATCTGCCATCAGAGGCGAAGGGGTGTTGGATAGCCGAACGGTTAGCGCGTGCATGCTATTTCATAAGTTCAAGTGGTGTGGTTTTGATTCCCTGGTTGTATGTGACAAGGAGTAGGGTCGCCTGTCCAACCTCGTGGGTTTCTCCGGGTCCTCCGGTTTCCTCCCAGTGCTAAAGACACCCACGCGCAATCAAATTATTGAAATAAATTTGAACCATATGATAGTCCCGAAATGACCTAGTTTGTGTCGAGTGGATGTTAAACCACATATCTCTTTATCTGTCCACCATCAGATGTGACCATCCATTCCTGGGGATCACGGTGGCGAAGTGGGTAAGACGCTGGCTCACTAGCCTGGAGGTCGGGTGTTCGATCCCTGCATTGGCCGAGAAAGTTCCCCCTTGTCAGTGATCCACCCACTTCCATTCTTATCTCTCGTTTGATAAATTATTAAAATTTGAGCGCCAATGTCGGACAAAATTTTGGAACAGATGAAATAATTCTGCAAACTGCTGTTGAAAAATTTCTGAATTTTGATAGTCAACTTGTACAATTATATTATCTTAAGAAGAATTCAAACGTATTTTTCATGTTTTTATTAAAATCTCTTATCATCTAAATAGTATGCTCCAATACAGTAAAGGTCTGTCCGTCTTCATTAGCCCAGTTGGTGCAGAGAAGTCGGTCGCTGTTGTTTGTATTTCAGAGGAGAGCGAAAAAAAGCTCCCCACAATCAACAAAAAATCGCTCCCCTCAAAAAACTCTCCCAGTTTTGATAAGAAGAATGATTTAGAAAAAAAGGAGAGTGATCTGATATTAAGGAGAGTGATTAGTTGTGTGCATGGGAAATGGTTCTAAGATCAATAACTGCATGTAATTGGGAGGGAAAAAAAACTCCCCTCGGTCAACAGGTGCTCGAGAGTGATCGCTCGCCTTAAAAAACAATGACAGAGAAGTAGGTCATTGACTAGATTATCTGGGCTTTTACAAAGTCTAAGGGAGGTAACTAGCCCTAAAACAAGATGTTGATGCCCTATGAAATTAATTTAAGAATTGCCATTTCAGAAAATTAATTTGCATTGCCAGTTCAATATCAAACACACTTAATTTTTTTATTGTAAAATTTCTGTCTTCGTGGACCATATCTATGTTTTTTAATTAATCCTAATTCATCATCACGGTTCCTGTTTGTTTATAATAACGCATGAATTATGGGATTTATTTTGGGAAAGGGGGGTTGGATGGCCGAATTGTTAGCACGCTTGCGCTGTATCACGAGGCCTGTCATTGAGTCAACTGGCGTGGTTTCGAATCCCCGGTTGTACGTGACAAGGAGTAGGGTCGCCTGTCCAACCTCGTAGGTTTTCTCCGGGTCCTCCGGTTTCCTCCCACTGCTAAAGACCCCTACGCGCAAGTGAATTATGGAAATAAAATTGAACCATATGTTAGTCCCGAAATGACCTAATCTGTCGAGTGGATGTTGAACCCCATTTCTCCCTCTCTCTCTATTTTGGGAAGGGGTGCAACTCTTATTTGAAATTTACTGGATAATCATCCACATGTTGACAACAGACCCAGACCCTCCATAAGATGAAGACTAGGAGGTTCTGGGTGACTGAGACTACGGTTCCTAACCTTTTCTCATCCTTTTTACCCCCAGCAACTTTTAAAAATATAAATACACCACTCCCCCCTTTCCTGTTTTGTTCAGTTATTTGAGTTCACAATTATACATGTACAGTAATAGAGGACAACGACAAGAGAGAAATTTTAAGATACCATTTTTAAAAATTATTTTAAATACAATAACAGATCCCCTAGGCAGATGAAATTGATTCCCAACTGGGCAGATGAAATTGATCCCCTAGGCAGATAAAATTGATTCCCAACTGGGCAGATGAAATTGATCCCCTAGGAAGGTGAAATTGATTTCCAACTGGGCAAATGAAATTGATCCCCTAGGAAGGTGAAATTGCTTCCCAACTGGGCAGATGAAATTGATCCCCAAGGAAGGTGAAATTGCTTCCCCTAGGCAGATGAAATTGATCGCCATGGCAGATGAAATTGATTCCCCTAGAATGGTGAAAATGATCCCGCTAGACAGGTGAAATTGAATCCTCTACGAAGATGAAATTGATTCCTCTCGGCAGATGAAATTGATCCCCTTATGTATATGTATAGTCAGTTGATGCTGCTTGGTATGAATTGATATTAATTCTATAACATTTTTTTAATTGGTTCTGGTTGCTACTTTCAATTTAGCTTTTATTGCTCTAACACTTTTCTTGGCTCTCATGCTTCTTTCTACGCCTTCGTTTCTACCACCTTATATGGATGCTAACAGAGTTTAGTCAAACAGAGTAGTATGGATGACCCGTTTGAAAATGGTTCTGATCGGGACGATGATCTGATGAGGGACGTTGATTCTATGAAGCCCGACAGTGATGATGAGATTCCTCCCACACCACCACGACCTTCGACCCCATCTTTCTTACATAAAGCATTACCATGGAAACCTAAAGTCAGGTATGTTGTTTTTTTATTGAGAGAGAGAGAGAGACCACGCCAGTTGATTCCATGGCAGACCTTATGATATAGTGCCCATGTGCTAAACATTCGGCCAAGTAAATTCTCCCGTTACCTACCAAGGAATAAATATGTGACAACCCTTGTCGACTGCCCAGACGATTTAGCTGCTGTGAGCTTATGTTTTGTTGCCTGGCAACCTATTTTTTAAGGAGTCAACTCAAATATTAGTAAAGAAACTGTTCTATTATCGGGTGAAAGTTCTATACTTTGGGTTAGCTCCAGGTTTTGGCCCCGAAAGTGTAGCTCAGGGTTCGCTCCAGGTTTTGGCCCGAGAGAGTAACTCAGAGTTCACTCGGACAGAGTGTTGGCTCTCGGGGTTCACTCTAGGTGTTGGCCCCGAGAGAGTAACTCAGGGTTCGCAGCAGGTGTTGGCCCCGAGAGAGCAACTCCGGGTTTCGCTCGACCAGGTTTTGGCCCGAGAGAGTAACTCAGGATTTTCCATTTGGTTTTCAGGATGAAGAACCACATATGCGTGCACGACAGTTGGAATTCAAAAAAAGAATAGGCAGTAGTCCCACTGTCCGGTCAAAATTACCTCATAGCACACTATTTGGCATTTGCCCATCTTCATTATTACCTATGAAATTAGCCATAAAACCTCAAGTTTTACTCTGGATAACTATGTCTGAATACTTATGGAAGTCATTGTGTTAATTTATTGTCCTGATTATGAAGTCCCTCCTGTTGATCTATTGTTTGTTATTTCATATTTTAGGTTAAAGGATCTCGAGATGTTTCTGGACAATACAAGAAGTAAATTTGTCGGATTTCAAGTTAAAAATGATAGTAACTCTTTAGCTGGTTTACCTCAACCCATCCATGAAGGTGTTAAAGTTCTCAAACAGGTAATTTTACATTTCACAATATATATTGGCGTGCACGTTAAAGATCCCTTGGCAGTTGGAATTCGATATAAGAGTAGGCCATAGCGCCGCTGTCCGGACAAAGTTTCCCTCATAGCACACTGTATGGCGTATGTCCATCTTCATTAGCCCAGTTCGGAGCAGAACAGTAGAACGTTAAACCCCATTTCATTTCATTATCGCCCTATTGTTAAGTTTGTTTAACAAAATGAAATGAAATGAAATGGGGTTTAACGTCCTACTGTTTTGCTCCTACAACCCAGTTTAGGAGCAAAACAGTAGGACGTTAAACCCCATTTCATTTCATTTCATTTTGTTAAACAAACTTAACAATAGGGCGATAATCGTAAAACACTTACAAAGAATAAATAGAGAATCTACTACTCGTCTTTTTTGATATGAAAAAATATCCACACAAGTCGATAAACTAAAAAATAAAAAGGCTCTGACGAGTTTGTTTGTATTAAATCGACTTGTGTTGATATATTTTGATATTAAAAAAAGATGAGTAGGAGATTTTATTTATCACTTGATCTTTTCTTACATGCACAAATAAATAAATATAATTCTTTGCTATAGAATTTCACTTTTACTGAACCTGATTACATTGCGGCATAGCGATACGTCATTTTTTGACTGCAATCCACCCATTGCAAAGTTCTTTATATTGACCCAGTGTTTCCATCAAGGCTAAATAAATATAGTTCCTTTTCAATAAGAAAGAAGTTAATTATCACCCGCCTTTCGAAGAAAGCAGGGGACTATTAAAATGGGTTCGTCCGTCTGTCTGTCTGTCCGTCTGTCTGTCCGTCACACTTTTTGGGACACAATAACTCTCTTCCTAATTGAGCTAGAATGTTCAAACTTGGTGTATGTGTTTATTAGGTCAATGCCTTGATGGAGTTCGAAGATGAGCATTTTCCGCTTAGGGTAAGCAGAGATAAGCAATTTGATTGGTTGATGCTTTGGGACACGATAACTCTCTTCCTAATTGGGCTAGAATGTTCAGACTTGGTGTATGTGTTGATTAGGTCAATGCCTTGATGGAGTTCGAAGATGAGCATTTTCCGCTTAGGGTAAGCAGAGATAAGCAATTTGATTGGTTGATGCTTTGGGACACGATAACTTTTAATTGAGTTAGAATGTTCAAACTTGGTGTATGTGTTTATTAGGTCAATGCCTTGATGGAGTTCGAAGATGAGCATTTTCCGCTTAGGGTAAGCAGAGATAAGCAATTTGATTGGTTGATACTTTGGGGCACAATAACTCTCTTCCTAATTGAGCTAGAATGTTCAAACTTGGTGTATGTGTTGATTAGGTCAATGCCTTGTTAAGTCAATGCCTTGATGGAGTTCGAAGATGAGCATTTTCAGCTTAGGGTAAGCAGAGATAAGCAATTTGATTGGTTGATGCTTTGGGACAGGATAACTTTAATTCTAATTAAGTGAGAGTGATGAAACTTGGTGTATAGTTTCATTACATCAATACCTTGACTAAGTTCAATAATGAGCATTTTCTGCTCAGGGTAAGCAGAGCGATAAGCAATTTGATTGGCAGAGACTTTCGAACACAATAACTCACCTTCTAATTGATCTAGAATGTTCAAACTTTGTGTATGTGTTTATTAGGTCAATGCCTTGATGGAGTTCAAAGATGAGCATTTTCTGCTTAGGGTAAGCAGAGATAAGCAATTAGATTGGTTGATGCTTTGGGACACGATAACTTTAGTTCTAATTAAGTGAGAGTGGTGAAACTTGGTGTATAGTAAGATCTATCTGATAGATAGAAATGTACGATTAATTAATGTGTCATCTATTTATTTTGCAATTTAGGCGGGGGACATCAGCCTCACTGTTGGCTTGTTTTAATTACTTTGAAAATAAAAAAAAAGTAGTTCATTTTTGATTGACTAATTAAATTCATGTAAAGCGATATCTCCTAAGGAGATATCGCTGTAGATTATGAAATATATCACACAAGCGATATCTACTGTAGAATTTATTATTGGGTGATAAAGTTTAATGAGCAATTAGAAGCATAAATAATTATGAAGTAAATATATTTATTTTTAATTTCAGCATTTATATATATCACTATCAGAACTGCAGATCAAAAGAGAAGAGGAGATTGCTAAAAATCCACTATCACGGGTAACGCTACATTTTTACACGCCTATATTTTCATGTGGTCGTATATTGTCATCGCCCCTGTCTGTCCCACAATTTGTTTGTGGACACTCTACAGGTCACAATTTTTCTCTGATTTTGACAAAACTTTAAATATTTTTTATATCCCAACGATCTTGGTTCCTTTCGATATTGACGTATATATCTTCATGGATTATGGCCCCTGATTGTACGAAGAATCATGTTTTATAGCTTGTGGACTCCCTAGAGGTCACAATTTTTATCTGATTTTGATGAAACTTAAATTCTATATTTATATCCCAAAGATCTTGGTTCTTTTCAATATTGGCGCATAAGGGACCGTAACTTTTTTAACTACATACAAATTTCACAATACACTGTACTATCCAGATTATCACCAAAAAAAAAAAAAAAAATCACCACCAATAACGTTAAAATTTGTCATAGGTTCCACCCTTTTTTACAAAAATTGTGGTTGCCTAGTGGTGACGTCATTTCAGTTTGAAGTAATTCTGAAAGTGACGTCATTCTGCTAGTAAACTCATAATTTGGTCTTAAAACTTTGGTTAGGGCTTAACAAAAAAGTTAATGAATGACTGACCACATTACTTAAGATGTTTTATAGACATGTTTTTTTTATCTGTTTACAGCCAGAATCTGATGTACCAAGTACCCCAGCAGAGTTATTATACCAGGCCATGCTACCCAATTTACCACAATATATGGTAAGTTATCATCTATCATCACTACAATATCATATCATTTAATCTTCACCGGACTTCTTTCACATTCATTCCATATCAAATCAGCCACATTTCATTTGATTATGAAATAAAAAAATTTATCTTAGAATGACGTCTAAATAGAATATGATGTAATATTTTAGATAGTGTTTTAGTCCCAAAATGACCTGGTTTGTGTCGAGTGGACGTTAAATTCCATTTCTCTCTCTTTTAGATAGTGTTACTATAAATAGAATATGATTTTAGACAGTGTTACTATAAATAGAATATGATTTTAGACAGCGTTACTACAAATATAATATGATTTTAGATAGCATTACTATAAATAGAATATGATTTTAGATAGCATTACTATAAATAGAATATGATTTTAGACAGTGTTACTATAAATAGAATATGATTTTAGACAGCGTTACTACAAATATAATATGATTTTAGACAGCATTACTATAAATAGAATATGATTTTAGACAGCATTACTATAAATAGATAGCATTACTATATATAGAATATGATTTTAGATACCATTACTATAAATAGAATATGATTTTAGATACCATTACTATAAATAGAATATGATTTTAGACAGCGTTACTATAAACAGAATATGATTTTAGACAGCATTACTATAAATAGAATATTATTTTAGACAGCATTACTACAAATAGAATGTGATTTTAGATAGCATTACTATAAATAGAATATGATTTTAGACAGCGTTACTATAAATAGAATATGATTTTAGACAGCGTTACTATAAATAGAATATTATTTTAGACAGCATTACTACAAATAGAATATGATTTTAGACAGCATTACTATAAATAGAATATGATTTTAGACAGCATTACTACAAATAGAATATGATTTTAGATAGCATTACTATAAATAGAATATGATTTTAGATAGCGTTACTATAAATAGAATATTATTTTAGACAGCATTACTATAAATAGATAGCATTACTATATATAGAATATGATTTTAGATTGCGTTACTATAAATAGAATATTATTTTAGATACCATTACTATAAATAGAATATGATTTTAGATACCATTACTATAAATAGATAGCATTACTATATATAGAATATGATGTAATATTTTAGATAGCCCTATTAAAGCTACTTTTGGCCGCTGCACCTACATCAAAAGCTAAAACAGAATCTATAAATATCCTGGCTGATGTTCTACCTGAAGAAATGCCGTAAGTTATATTTACCTGATCAAATTGTATATTTATTGGGATTGTGATAGTTGAGTAATCAGGGCACTAGTTGATTAAATGGGATACAAAACATATGTTAGTCCCAAAATGACCTGGTTTGTATCCCAGGTTAAACTCTCTCTCTCTCTCTCTCTCTCTCTCTCCCTCTCCCCTTGTTTTATAATTTACACAATGGTACATATAATGGATTTATTTGAATAGTTTTATTAAGTTTCTTTATGTAAGCTCAAAGCTGTAAATATATTTTGATATTTCAGAACAACAGTTTTACAGTCGATGAAATTAGGTATTGATGTGAATAGACATAAAGAAGTTATAGTGAAAGCAATCAGTGCATTGTTGTTATTATTACTCAAACATTATAAACTAAACCATATATACCAGGTTGGTTTTATTATTACTCAAACATTATAAACTAAACCATATATACCAGGTTGGTTTTACTATTACTCAAACATTATAAACTAAACCATATATACCAGGTTGGTTTTACTATTACTCAAACATTATAAATTAAACCATATATACCAGGTTGGTTTTATTATTACTCAAACATTATAAACTAAACCATATATACCAGGTTGGTTTTACTATTACTCAAACATTATAAACTAAACCATATATATCAGGTTGGTTTTACTATTACTCAAACATTATAAACTAAACCATATATACCAGGTTGGTTTTACTATTACTCAAACATTATAAACTAAACCATATATACCAGGTTGGTTTTACTATTACTCAAACATTATAAACTAAACCATATATACCAGGTTGGTTTTACTATTACTCAAACATTATAAATTAAACCATATATACCAGGTTGGTTTTACTATTACTCAAACATTATAAACTAAACCATATATACCAGGTTGGTTTTATTATTACTCAAACATTATAAACTAAACCATATATACCAGGTTGGTTTTACTATTACTCAAACATTATAAACTAAACCATATATACCAGGTTGGTTTTACTATTACTCAAACATTATAAACTAAACCATATATACCAGGTTGGTTTTACTATTACTCAAACATTATAAACTAAACCATATATAACAGGTTGGTTTTACTATTACTCAAACATTATAAACTAAACCATATATACCAGGTTGGTTTTACTATTACTCAAACATTATAAATTAAACCATATATATCAGGTTGGTTTTACTATTACTCAAACATTATAAACTGAAAAAGGGGAGGTCAGGTGGGGTGTTTTCGATTCCCTGCTTATACCTGGCAAGGTTTCCTCTCACTGCTAAAGACCCCTACCCATTTAGACAAATTGTGGACATTGCAAGTAATAAAAAACAACAACCGCATATAACAAATCAAGTGACAGGTTCCGAGGGGCCAGCCGTAATGGATTTTCAGAACAAGTATTTCCAGCTTATAAGAAACCCATCTAAAAACGAGAGTTATCACTGTAACCCAAGTATCATTTAATCTTGTGTATCTAGCACTAATTTCTTTCACATTTGTTTAATATCCAATCTTTGTTTAAAAATTCGTAAAAACTGTTTAAAATCACCAAAAATGATCTAATTTGTACTTGTGTCCAGTTTAAAGCTGACTGATTAATTTTGATAATGAGTGTCCAATTTACAAGTATTTAATTTCCTGACCACTGTTCAAAAATTAATCATTATACATCATTAATCAATTGGGTTGTTTATTTTTTAACAGTTATTGAGAAATTAAACACTTCTAAATTGGACACTCATTATCAAAATTGAATGGTCAGCTTTAAACTGTACGGATTTATAAATTAAACGATTTATGGTGATTTTAAACAGTTTTTACAAATTTTTAAACAAAGATTGGATATTAAAGTTACAATTTCATATTTTCTAAGAAAGTCGAAACATAATTATTTCTATGTCGTTTGCTCAATAGGTTGTCAACTCACTATTATACGATCATAGGTGTCATTCTCACACTTAAAACTCATTTACACCGGAAATAATAACACAATTACCTCCCTTGTTTTCTATTGTCCACCATGGAGTAGCTATCTTCAAACGTTTGAATTTGAAGTTGAGAATGATATTTTTGCCAACTGGCAATAGTGAATTATAGGATTAATAGGATTATTCTTTAACAAGGTAGGACTGTTTATAGATACATCTATTTTAGGGCTTTATTTTAATACATTTTAAAAATATAACTTAAAAATATGAAATTGTAACTTTAAATGAATGTGAAAGAAATTAGTGCTAGATACACAAGATTAAATGATACCCGGGTTACAGTTGGTGTTGAAAAGTAAAACGTTAAACTGTGTTTTATTTTATTTCTACGATGCTACGTACAATATTCATCTTATATCTACATCTGTTCGTTGTTTTATTTTTTAGTTTGAGTTTATGAGTCAACATCTGGTCTTCGCTAATTGTATCCCACTTGTACTGAAATTCTTCAATCAGAATATCTTATCTTATGTTAGTGCTAAAAATAGTATACCAGTTCTAGACTTTCCTAGCTGTGTTATAGGAGATCAACCAGAACTGACAGCAGAAACAATGGTAAGTGTACTATTATTCTAGCTACACTCAGTGTACCACCCCTTTACTACTATCATTCTAGCTAGACTCAGCTTACATCAGCAGCAGCTGCCCTTTACTATTATCATTCTAGCTAGACTCAGCTTACATCAGCAACAGCTGCCCTTTACTATTATCATTCTAGCTACCATTAGTGTACCACCAGCAGCAGGTGCCCTTTACTACTGTCATTCTAGCTACACTCAGTGTACCACTAGCAACAGGTGCCCTTTACTACTATCATTCTAGCTAGACTCAGTGTACCACTAGCAACAGGTGCCCTTTACTACTATCATTCTAGCTAGACTCAGTGTACCACTAGCAACAGGTGCCCTTTACTACTATCATTCTAGCTAGACTCAGTGTACCACCAGCAGCAGGTGCCCATTACTACTACTAACATTCTAGCTAGACTCAGTGTACCACTAGCAACAGGTGCCCTTTACTACTATCATTCTAGCTAGACTCAGTGTACCACCAGCAGCAGGTGCCCATTACTACTACTACTATCATTCTAGCTGCGCTCAGTTTACCACCAGTAGTAGGTGCCCTTTACTATTATCATTTTAGCTAGACTCAGTGTACCACCAGCAGCAGGTGCCCATTACTACTACTAACATTCTAGCTGCACTCAGTTTACCACTAGCAACAGGTGCCCTTTACTACTGTCATTCTAGCTAGACTCAGTGTACCACTAGCAACAGGTGCCCTTTACTACTATCATTCTAGCTAGACTCAGTGTACCACCAGCAGCAGGTGCCCATTACTACTACTAACATTCTAGCTGTGCTCAGTTTACCATCAGTAGTAGGTGCCCTTTACTACTATCATTTTAGCTACACTTGTATCACCAGCCACAAAGTGTATTTGGTGGTAGTAGAAAATATTTCATACTTGATTTATTTCAATCTCCTCAGAATTCACGAGGCAATTGAAGTAGTTTAGTTTTGTTTTGTATATTTAAACAGGAAAATGGTGATAATCAAGGTTATTGCTGGAGAAATTTATTCTCATGTATTAATTTATTACGAATATTAAATAAATTAACCAAATGGAAACATTCAAGAACTATGGTAAGTCAAATATTTATTCAGTTCTGTTTCATGGTTGACAACTCTCTTGCTAAAATTACAAGAGTTATCCCCCTTATATCAAAATCAATACCCGTTGAGAGGTAATGAAATGAAATGGGGTTTATCGTCCTACTGTTCTGTTCCGAACTGGGCTAATGAAGATGGGCATACGCCATACAGTGTTCTATGAGGGAAATTTTGCCCGGACAGTGGCACTATCGCCTAATCTTATATCTAATTCCAACTATCAAGGGATCTTTTACATGCACGCCAATGTGTACACGGGACCTTGGTTTTTCATCTCATCTGAATGACTAGACAGTTTTCCATGTCAGGCCCCCCGTCCTGCATCACTGACAAGGGGGAACCCCACCGGAAAATCAGGATGAACTTTCTCGGCCAATGCAGGGATCGAACACCAGACCTCCAGACTAGCGAGCTAGCATCTTACCCACTTAGCTCGCGTGACCCCCCATGGAGAGGTAAAGGGGATAATTGATTGAAGATTGATTGAATAGTAACAGTCGAGTGAAAAGGGTGATTTCAGGCTACAACGCATGCACCGACTGTATAAGAAAATATCTCAACCAACCACGACGTCTGAAATATATTGTTTGTGTTTAATTACATCACGATTCTACTCACACCACACCTCAGTTGTCAGGACAGACGGAACTGTGACTGGACTGAATTCTTTATCATTCGATTGCATTTCTATTGCATCTAATTTGTACTTGCGTCCGGTTTAAACGATATTAAACTATTCTGAAGTTTTATTCTAGATGTTGATATTAAACGATGCTATTTTGATATATTTATTCTAGATGTTGGTTGTATTTAAGTCAGCACCGATATTAAAACGGGCGTTAAAAGTGAAACATTCGATGATGCAGCTGTATATATTAAAACTATTGAAGATGCAGACTAAGTACCTCGGTCGTCAGTGGCGTAAGAGTAACATGAAAACGATGTCTGCTATTTACCAGAAGGTTCGACATCGTCTTGGTGATGATTGGGCGTATGGAAATGGTAATTTTATTATTTCTTTCAAATTAATGGGGGTGGGGGGGGTGGCCGAATGGTTAGCATGTGCGTGCTGTATCATAAGGCCTGTCATTGAGTGAACTGACGTGGTTTCGAATCCCCGGTTGTACGTGACAAGGAAGAAGTAGGGTCGCGGTCATCTGTCCAACCTTGTGTAGGTTTTCTCCGGGTCTTCTGGTTTCCTCCCACTGCTAAAGACCTGTATGCGCAAGCGAATGATTGACAAGGAGTAGGGTCGCCTGTGTAACCTTGTGGGTTTTCTCTGGGTCCTCCAGTTACTTCCCACTGCCAAAGACCCCTACTTGCAAGCAAATTTTTAAAATAAAATTAAACCATATGTTAGTCCCGAAAGGACCTGGTTTGTGTCCACTGGAGGTTAAACCCCAGAGAGAGAGGGAGAGGGAGCGTTTAAGTCCACTCAACACAAACTAGGTCATTTCGGGACTAACACATTGTTCAATTTTATTTCAATAATTCACTTGGGCATAGGGGTCTTTAAGCAAGGAAACCGCAGGACCCGAAGAAAACCCAGGAGACTGGACAGGCCACCTTACTCCTACAGCCTCACAGGTATCAGCCCTGTCAAGTGAAACATTTTCATACATTTTGTTTGGTTTTTTTTATTTCCAGATATGGATGCGAGACCGTGGGATTTCCAAGCTGAGGAATGTGCGTTGAGAGCTTGTGTTGATAGATTTAACAATCGTAGATACGGATCAAACGGAACGGACCCAGAATTTAAACCCGTCGACAATTGTTTACAGAGTATTCTGGGATTAAAGATTGAACTTCAAGATGAATTTATATATAATTATGAACGATGGTTAGAAATGGAAGTTTTTTCACATCAGATTGACTGGAATCAAGTTCTTGTTCATTAATCTAGCAGTCTGGTAGATCCAACCTACTTGTGTACTGTTATATAGCAGGCTGGTAGATCCAACCTACTAACCCTTGTGTGCATGTGTCTAGCAGTCTGGTAGATCCAACCTACAAACCCTTGTGTACTGGTATATAGCAGTCTGGTAGATCCAACCTACATGTACTACCCTTATGTACTGGTATATAGCAGTCTGGTAGATCCGACTTACAAACCTTTGTGTACTGGTATCTAGCAGTCTGGTAGATCCAACCTACTAACCCTTGTGTACTGTAATATAGCAGTCTGGTAGATCCAACCTAATTGTGTATTGTTATATAGCTATCTTTGGGGGCGCTCGATTGTCAGTCCAGAACGTCCAGAATTGCAATCAAGTGATATGGAATTCTTTCAGTCCCAACACCTAAGGTGGTGTGAGTAGAATCGTGACATATTTTAAGTAACAAATATGTTTCAGCTGTCATGATTGGTTGAAATCATTTTTATCTTATCAGCACATGCGTTGTACTCCGAAATTCTCCTTTTCACTCGCTTGGCACTATTTTTGGAATTGAGAGAATTTATTTCTGGAACGTTCAATCGTGTATCTCCCAGAACCAGCAGTAGATACAATAAAGGTAGAGTCCAAAGCTATTTGAAATGGCATTGTCGTGAAAACTAATTCCAAACAGTGGAATTTTCACAGTAATTTATCAACTAATATTCCAGAAAATATGTAGGTTTTATACATTTAATGTCTAGATATCTGAAAATGTAGCAAATTCGGTCCACAATGTGATCATTAGAATTGTATCTGATATTTAGAGAGCAGTGGAAGCTTGTAAATCATAATAATGATATCACCATATGATATGACTACAGCCTGGAAGGTTTTGATTGACGTGAAATATTCAAGTGGATGTCCGTTATTAACAATTGTATAGTCAGGTTATCACCTTAGTTCCTCCAACCGTGTCAAGGAGTAGGGTCGCCTGTCCAACCTCGTGGGTTTTCTCCGGGGCCCTCGGTTTCCTCCCACTGCTAAAGACCCCTACGTGCAATGGATCTATATGTCACTATGTCTCTATCGTCATTTTGGCGTATATACATACACATTGAGCTACATACACAACAGAGAAATTCAACACCTCGTTTGACGTCAATTTTTATTATGAATTAATACAATGACTTTGTGATTCAATTTCATGGATGCAAAGCATTAATTGTGATATCACATAATGTCTATATCATTATCTCGTGCTTTGAGTGCCCATCCTGTCCCAAATCTGACGATAAAGGATAAAGCACACGGCCGAGAAACCTTTCTTATAAAAAGTGTTGACCCCCCAAACCCCCCCTCTGGATCCGCCCCTGATTAAAGTAACTAAGTCTCTAACTCGATATCATCCAAAATCTTCGACATTGAAAACACAAATTATTTGTCAATTTAAATCAACATTGATGTTGTGATCTTACCGGGAAAAGATGGGCTTCTGATATCCAATATTTAAGACAAAATAAACATTTTGCCATTGGTACACGAATCGTGTACCACAATGCGTTTCAGCGCCATTTGTAACAATGGACTCGAAGAACGAGGCTAGACATATCATATGCCATGTCAAATGGTGACACCATATCTTATCTGGAGAGCATGCACAATAAATACTATCGGTGTAGATTGGAATAACCAGACCCTAGACATTGCCATTCGATTGAGACTTCTGGCGTATTTCGCGGAACATAACAGATTTGAAATTAGAGTATGAACGGAATGATTGAATGTAAATCAGTTTATATACATCCATATTACATTATTATAGGTCCAAAATATTAGTGATTTAGCCCCTGTAAAGTCTGATGTAAATAAAAACATTTAAATGTCAATAAATAATTTATTACACAAACATATTGTTGGTGGTGGTGGTGGTGTTCCAAACGGCAAAAATTTATCCTTCACAGTAACATTCTTTAAAACATTCCCATCAACTTTTATGATCACAATATACCACAATCATCTGATACAAGTATTGAAGGGGGTTGACCCTGTAAAGACACCACAATCATCTGTTGTGAATATTGAAAGGGATTGACCTAGTAAAGAAACCACAATCATTTGATGTGAATACTGAAAGGGGTTGACCACAATCATCTGATTGTGAATATTGAAAGGCACCCATCCATCCCCAGTTTGCAAAATAGGGTTGTACCTGATGAAAGGAACTATGAAAATCACAGAAAATTTCAATTTGCGATATTGGCATATTATGATACTTTGATATGAACATTATAAAAATTTGAAGGAAAGAAATTCGAAAAAGTCTCTCAGACGAGGATACTGTGATGCCTCTAATTTCACCTGATTTTTTCTTGCGAGAGGACGTTGTAGTAAATCCAAAGAATATCCGTATGAACTTGAGAAATGCACGATTGATGATCAGGTCTAAACTGAAATCTGTACAGTTTCGATATCACCAGAAACACGAAGGATGCCAGTGAAATATTAATAACTGGTGAGATTCAACAGCATTAGTCTACCGGATAAACACAGATTTATGAGTTTTCCTGGAAAAAAGTCCCATCAAAGCAAACTTGGTCGCAAATGAAAGGTGGGGTCCGTATGTACTCCAGAAAAAAAATGACCCATCATGATCGTTTGGGGTAAATTTTTGGGGCGGGGTCAAAGGTCACGATCGGCCAATCAGAAAACAGTCAATATCTCAAAAACTATCAATTTTAGACCCTATAAATGTATTATCAACATCGCGTACAAAATTTCAACTATGCTAGATGAGTGGACAGCGGTGTCCGATACTCTGAACCTTGATACTTAAGTCGTAGGTCCCCTTCCCATGGGGGTGGGGGTCTGACAAAACGTCGAAATTTCTAGTTTAATTCGACTTTTGCGTTCAACAATCAACTTTCGTGCATAAGTCGACCAACTTCAGATGTCGCCAAAAACACTGCTTAATTAAGAAGACCCTTACTCCCTTAAGAACACCCCTTTGAGAGAGGAGTTAATTGTTTCGTAAAAAGTTTCACACTAACATAACACTAACTTAAGAACGCAAAATCCCCTTCTATCCCGGATAAGAACGACAAAACGGGTGACCCATGGGTGAAATGACCAAAATAACGATTTAATTCGACTTCTGCGTACAACGATCAACTTTAGTGCATATGTCAACCAACCTCAGATGCCATCAAAAACATTGCTTAAGAAGACCTACGACCCTTCCTTCCTCCTTTAAGAAAAACCTCCTTTACTACCCCCCCCCCCCCTTAGCGATGAGTTATTTCGAATTCCGCGTACAACATTAATTTTTTCGTTAAAGAGAGAGAAATGTGGTTTAACGTCCACTCGACAAAAACCAGGTCATTTCGGGACTAACATATGGTTCAATTTTATTTCCATAATTCGTTTGCGCGTAGGGGTCTTCAGCAGTGGGAGGAAACCGGAGGACCCGGAGAAAACCCACGAGGTTGGAGAGGCGACCCTACTCCTGACGTCCATTCTGTTTCACCTAAATAAAATCTGTAGGATTTGCCATACTCATGATATTCCAAGATCTTCTAGATGGAGTGATATTTTCATTAAGGACTCCAATGAATTGCTCTCGTACGGTGTTGTCGACCTACTCACTAATGTGCTAAAAGAAGAAGCCTTGATTTGAGAGTTCTTGAAACCCGTATTCGATAACTTTCTATTCCACTGGATACATTACTACAAGTTGATACCATTACTCCTTCGATCAAGCAATGCCTGGAATCCACTTATTTCACACGGGGAAAAAACTATTATGGACAGATCCATGGTTTACCGATGGGAAATCCTGACAAGTGGAATCCACGTTGACTGATGCCGGACCTGTTGGTTAGTGATCCACCGGGCCTGTTGGTTAGTGATCCAGGGCACCACTTACTGAACAACCGTGACTCTGAAACGAAATATGATCTGTGTTTTAAATTAATGGATGCTTTTGTCTTGATGACGTATATAAAATAGTGTTGACCTTGAAACAATTTTCAGTGATGTTAACAACATGGCTGTCACTGGTTTCACTGATAAATTGTCTACGTCACATTATCGCATGCGTCATCAATCATTCTCTGGCCACTGGGTCATGGTGACAGGTTTATATAACACGCTTTCATGTCGATGTAATAATTCCTAATAATCAAATGATAGAAATGGGAATCCACAGACAGTCGCTTGGTGATTAAGTGGCTGACTCTTTTAAAGAGGCAGTCAAAGATTAAAATTAAATATTTTAAGGTGTTTTTTTTTTTCGGTCCTGTACTTGAGAGGGGGGGTTGGATGGCTGAATGGTTAGCACGTGCGCGCTGTATCATAAAGTCTGTCATTGAGTCAACTGGCGTGGTTTCGAATCCCCGGTTGTACGTGATAAAGAGTAGGCTCGCCCGTCCAACCTCGTGGGTATTCTCCGGGTCCTCCGGTTTCCTTCCACTGCTAAAGACCCCTACGCGCAAGCGAATTATTCAAATAAAATTAAACCATATGTTAGTCCCGAAATGACCTAGTTTGTGTCGAGTGGACGTTAAACCCATTTCTCTCTCTCTCTCTCTCTCTCTCTCTCTCTCTCCCTGTACTTGAGTCTCAGGGGCATACTGTACTTGAGTCTCAGAGGGATACTTTACTTGAGTCCTGGGCCCTTATTCACGATACAATCGAAATTTTAAGAAATACTGCAATTCGATTGGCTGACCAGTAAAATCAATTTGCATATATCCAATGAAGTTGCAGTATTTCTTAAAATTTCGGTTGTAACTTAGTTTACGTTTTCGTGAATAAGGGCCTAGGAGGTAAACTGTCCTGTACTGGAGTCCTGGAGGCATACAGTCCTATACTCGAGTCCTGGAGACATACTGTCCTGTACTTGAGTCTTGGAGGCATACTGTCCTGCACTCGAGTCCTGGAGGCATACAGTCCTATACTCGAGTCCTGGAGGCATACTGCCCTGTACTCGAGTCCTGGAGGCATACAATCAAGGAGTATGTCCCTGGTATCCATCACTGCCTGTCTACTTATAATATCATCTTTATTTCGGGTTTAATTATGGCCCAGTCGTCATCAACCCAGTCTTTAAAGAACATCAGATCTTTAAACCCCATTTCATTTATTTTCATGTCAGTTATGGCTGGCCTTCAACCTACAGTAACTGTATCAATTCGGACCACTCACTGGTTTACATCACTTGAACATACAACCTCGTGGGTTTACTCCGGGTCCCCCGGTTTACCCTCTCTCTCTCTCTCTCTCTCTCTCTCTCACGGTACATATCTGGAATAATTTCCGCTAGAGTCTCTTGTTCTATAATTTATTGTTATTTGTCGTTGTTGTATTTATATGTGTGATATCTAACTCCGTTGAGTCTGGCCATGTTTACATCCATCATTCTCCGCCATCTACTAGTCGGTTATTCCCGATATGTGACAGTATAATGTCATTCACCAGCACGGATAAGTTTTCCTTTACGTTGTACAGTCAGAGATTAATAATAAAATTGCGTCTCAAATTTGAACAACCGTGGTAATCCTTTCTTAGTTGGGATCTTTGACCAATTTCTATACGCTCACGTTTCAATACGGCCATTACGGGGATATTATGCCGCCCCCTGACTGGTCAGCAATTAGCTTGTGAACGCGCTAGAAGCTAGAATATTTTACGGATTCTTTTCAAAATTGAAGTGCAGCATTTGTGATCATGAGAGGATGAACCCTATGGATTTTCAACTTTCTGTTCCGAAGTTATGCCCCCTTTTCCAAACCTTGTGAACGCGATAGAGGCTGTAGTTTTTAACCGATCTTTTTCCAACAATGTGGAAAGCTTTCAAGCCATGAGAGCTAGACTCCTATAGATAATCAGCGTTCCGCGAAACTCTTCTACCGAGTTACCGCTTCCCCGGTTGTACGTGACAAGGAGAAGGGTCGCCTGTCTAACCTCGTGGGTTTTCTCCATGTCCTCCGGTTTTCCCCCAATGCTAAAGACCCCTACGCGTAAGCGAATTATTGAAATAAAATTTAACCGTGTGCTGATTTGTGTCGAGTGGACGTTACCCCCCCCCCCCCCTCTCTCTCTCTCTCTCTCTCTCTCGTTGCAAATTTGGTGTCTGGCATTAGGATTGAAGAGGATTTCCAGCAGTTTAGGTCTTTCTGTTCCGGAGATACGAGTTGGGCGATACGAGCCTTCAGATAGGCGAATTTAATGACTTTCGAATAGGTAGAATAATATGTTCAGGGGGAATACATGTAGGCCTGGTTATACGAAAATAAGTAGACAAGGACACACTGTCTTTATTTCAATTTACCATACACTTCCTGTGACAAGGAGTTCATAGTATTGTCCATTTCCAATAATACCGTAATTTGTCAAAATTCGATACATTCCAGTAATGCTCTAATTTCAGAAAGATAGAAAGTATATGATACCGACCAAATACCCTAATATTACACATCCGATTATTGTCACCTAAAATTAATGGTATTGTGCGTTATTTATGGAGCCAAGGTGTTTGATCCCTGCATTGGCCGAGAAAATTCATCCAGATTTTCCGGAGTGGTTCCCCCTTGTCTAGTCGTGCGGACGGGACGCAAAACCGACGTCCCGTGTACACGTTAGCGTGCACGTAAAAAATCCCTTGACAGTTGGAATTCGATATAAGAGTAGGCCATAGTGCCACTGCCAAGGCAAAATTTCTCTCATAGCACACTGTATGCTTATGCACGTCTACATTAGCCCAATATAGGAGCAGAACAGTAGGACGTTAAACCCCATTTCATTTTATTTCACGTTATACTGGTCGAGAGTTTTATGTTAATCTAGGGTTCTGTATCGATAAATCTTCTAGCCATTATC